ACGAATTCTTCGTTTATGCCATTCGAAAACCGAATTTCCAGAACGATCGAATTTGGGCTAAAGACGTCGACGACATCGTTCATGTTTGGCGATATCGACAAATCGTGTCAATAAACTCAGTTTTTGATGGGCTTTCGAATGGTGTATGAATTATTTGTGTTGTTATTACAAGTGTTGCTGTGACCCCCTAGGAAAAGGTTATGCCCCGCCCTGTACATGTATCTTATGAGGAAAAAGCAAAGCTGTGGACTTTCTGCTTTCCTCATAACACCAAGCACATGCCATCCTGCATTCTGAGTCCTAGAAAACCAGGCATTTCATAAAGTTCTGAAGCCTCTTAGAGCTCCAAATTATTTCATAGAATAAAGCTCTGTTTCATTAAAACGATACTTAAAATCATTACATAAAGCCCTGAAATTTTAGAGGCTCTGATTTAAGGAGCTTTCCAGAGAGGTCTTAATAGAGCATCTTCTCAGCCTGCCAGGGTAGGCATGTACAACTACTGTAGACTGATGCTACAATCTCTTTCTCCCTTGGAAAGCCCTTCCAACAATTTCTTTTGCAAACTGAAATGGAGGAGGTTGAGAATTTAGACAGCTATTTCTTAATTATTTTCCCCAAGATCCTCTTTCTGAACAAAACTCCTTTCATGGTGCTTTCCTACCTTACAGGGAAAACATCCCAGCATCTTCAATCTCTTTTTCCTGAAAATAGGAAGACCCTTTAGATACCAATTTTCAATACAGCCTTTTCCTGTAGTACTTAAACAAATAAATCTAATCTGACCTAATCTTTTTTTTTCTTACCAGAAAAAAACAAAACAAAACAGGTGATGGAGGACAATGCTTCACACAAACACAAACTGAAAGGATGGAGATTGCACGTGTGAATCCTGCACAAGCAAATTTGACTGCCCCCAAGTTTACATTCCAAGATTATATGAATCATTCCAATTCCATGGAACTTGTAGTTCGGCTCTTATGGTTGTCCCTGTTCATTTTCAGCCCCAGAGATCCCCCGCCTAAAGGACCAAGACGTTTCAGTCACATCAAACCTTCAGACCTCAAAAAGATAAAATAAAATCAACCAGGAGGCTGAGGTGTACTGAGACTTCTCAGAAGGTACCTATTCATCCTTGTGTGCTGGGTTTAACTGGCATGGTTAAAAGATCTGTATGAACAAGCCATAGTGTGCAATCACAATAATAACCTCTTCAAGGAAAACAGTGCAATTCAGAAGCTTTATATTGCCTCTTTTCTTAAAGAATGCAGTAGCTGGGACTCAATTTTACCTGAGGCACCTAGGTGGGATGTAGGTGGTTTGACACCTGCAGTGCCAAATTTCCATGTAGAAAACCAAATCCAAGGAAACCTCTCAAAGCTCTGGAAACAACTTGATAGTTATATACTAGATACTGTAGGACACTGTGGTATTCTTCCACCTATGACAATGTATTAACAACAATAACATGCAGCAATTAGGTTTGCCCTTGAAGTGGGCCCATTTACATTTTCAGCTGTACGTCCAGATTAAAGGTCTTCCAGTAGGAGCTGTGTGTTCTGAGTTGGGGATAGAGGAAATGAATAACAACTCTGCTACAACACGTTAGGCTGTTCTTCCACAGAAAAGATAGCGCTATTTTAAGTATCAGCTAAAGCTGCTTATTCATGGAATCCCAGTTGCTTTCAGTGGAAAAATGAGCTGACCTAGATGAAAATGCTTTGACTCAGAATTTGAGGAAGGGAGTCTAAGAGCAACATTTACATAATGGTTATAGGTTAAATATTGGAGCAATTAATGCCTGAACATCTGCTAGCAATCGCGAAGTCACTGGCACTGAGGAATCACTTAGGAAGGGTCAAAACAAGTCAGGTCTCCTATTTAGACAGAAAAGGATTTGGTTGAAGGGGAAGAGAGGCCAGAAGCGAGCAGAAATATTGAATGCAGGTTCATACGCAATCTATCTTTCCCATGGAAGTATGGCATTTTGGGGGAGGGGTCAAAGGGCAGAAAGGATGAAAAAATATTACAAAAGAGGCTGCAATTTCCTGGGTTTTTTTTCCTCCCCTTCAACTTGAAGGGGAAAGGTTATTTATCAATTATGTAATCTATTTTATGATTTACACTCTGGCATTTTGTATTTCCTGCCTTAAATAGCAGCAGGGGCATCTGCAGAGGTGGTCAACAACACTGAAATAGCAGATGCCACTGGACAATGGAAGCCAGGCTCCCTTTTAACATGCTTCTCACATATAAAATAGGGCAAGCTTTGATCGGCCAATCACATGCAGCATTTTGCCATCACTGACTGCCTGACTTGCTGAATATCAAAAATATCAGCCCAAATGATTTGCAGCAACAGTAGTTAGAAGGTTTCTGAAGCTCAGTTGAGGAGCTTGTCTACTGCAAGTGACCCTGTACTCCTCCTTTGTCCCAAAATAGGATTCAGGAATCGACTGAGACAAAGAAACACAACCCAGGATTTGGGATCCAGTCAGAGAAACCAAGCTTGGGCTCTAAATCATTGCTGAGAAAAATGCACTGTATTAGGCTTTAATGTGGTAAAATATAAGGAACCTAAGCCAACTGGTTTTGGGCTAATAAATATATTACTTACCTTGAGTTCTGGGAATGTAGTCAGTTCAACAGAACAGATATGTTGTGTGTTTTCTCTATAGTTTCAAGACCTATAGCTCCCCAGTAGAGGAGTATCATTTAGCAAACCAGATTTCCTGAAAATGCTTGACAATAAGATGGACATACAGTCCTTCCATTTGTTCCTGGAAAGTCACTGGTACATTTATATTCTAGTTTTAGCAACACTCTGAAATCATCATCCCACCATCCAGGAGGCTTCGTTTCAAAAGTAGCTTGAAGCAGCTTCTTTGGAGCTTCTAAGCTGAACCATTCAACTTTACAGAGATGAGTAAACACACATTTCTTACCTCCAAAGGCAGGCCTCATGGAGAAATCATGGTCATCTACTCTCAGAAGTCTTTTGCTGTTCCCTGGCCAAGTTTTGGTCACGTCATAGTTCTTTTTATATGAGTAACTAAATTGAAAAACAAGAATACAAGCTATAATTTCTGATAACTGTGAGAAGGACCACTTTAAAAAGTAATTTGCTAATAATAATATACTGAAATTACATCTTTCCAAAGGGATTCCATGCACTGGAGTGACCGTGAAATGATTTGCATTATTTATTAAATGCATATGCTGCCTTGTCTCACTATCCAAAGTTACCATGATGGAAGAGCATGCCAGCATATTGAGTCAGTTCTAAGTCCCAACATCGTACCTTTGTGCTAAATTGGGACTATAAAGAACTTTCCTGAAGAAGCAGAGAAAATGTAGCATAAGAGAAATCCTTACAATATCATATATCTGGATCTCTAGTTGTGCCTGAGCATAAGCGGAAGTGTAGGAATTGAAAACATGAAAACTGAATGCACTGATACTATCGGTTACAGCAGTAGCCTTTCCCCAACCTGGACCTCATCCAGACAACAATGATCCTCGTGGGGTTAGGGTATTATAGATCAACAAATTCCCAGGGCATTTCTACTTTAGCACCTTTCATGCTGACCAACACAACAGAATCTTATCTACAGTTAGTCCTTAGCAATAGCAATAGCAGTTAGACTTATATACCGCTTCATAGGGCTTTCAGCCCTCTCTAAGCGGTTTACAGAGTCAGCATATTGCCCCCAACAATCTGGGTCCT